TTTGTATATAATATAATATTATATAATATTTGGATATTGTATTGTAGCATGGTATTATTCATTTGCCTATTATGCTTTTACATTCTAATTTTTAATGAAATTAAACCCCCTAAAACAATATTTGACCAAAGAACTTAAAACATATTTTGGATTGGTAATGTTCAATATTTTACGAAAGAAATTAAAACATATCGCTAAAACAATATCTCAGGAAAGAAACTAAAACATATTTTGGATTGGTGATTTTCATAAGCTATGAATTGATTAACATTTCACAAGAAACTGTCTTCTTTTTCTAAAAAAAATATAAATTATTTTAGCTCCAGTCTCTATAAAAAAACATTAGTAACAATTAATGTGAAACAATAACCTATGTCACCAAATATGTGACCTAATTGAATTAAATACGTTTTGTTGAAGGTCAAATTTATGGATAATTGATTAGTCTTGGTGGTGGGAAAGACATTGAATCTATCTTAGTATTATTAATTAATGCCTTATAAATATTGTCTTTTGTTTGTCTCCCTCAACATATGTAGACAAACAAAGGTGTTGAAACGTGTGCTAGATTTGTTTAATAAAGAAGGATTGGAACTCGTATTAAAAGATAGAGGAGTACTAAATTTTGACTACTACCCATCTTAACAAATGTATTATACAACTAATATATAATATTATCTTCTTGATCACTTCAATTCTTAAGATAAAAAAAAAAGTGTTATTTATTCTTTTTATTGTACATGAATTAAAATTTAGAGTTTTCACTAATATTCATTTATTTTTACCAAGTTCTTTTCAATATAAATAAAAAAAATTTATATTCTAACAGATAATTTCGACTATAAACATTGAGTAATCCAACTTGGGTGACAACTTAAGTGCAAATGCATTATCAATAAATTAAAATATAGTACATTTAAACCAACGAGAAATGACTTGGGGGATTTGTGATGAATATCGGCTTTTGTTCTATCACATGAGCCCAAGGCTTGTTACTCGCTTGGGACCTGGGTTATAGAAAGATTCTTGTTGACGTAGACAATAAAAGCGTGGTCTCAATGGCGAATGGAGATTCCTCAGAGAATTTTGGAGTGCATGGCAGCATGGTTCGGGCCATCCGGGAGTTGCTTAACCGGGACTGCACGGCTAGAGTGACCCATTGTTATAGAGAAGCTAACTTCGCAGCAGACTGTTTGGCGACTCTAGCACATCAATACCCTAGTGGTTGCCAACGTTTCTTAGACCCGCCATCGGTAGTTAAACCGTGGATACAGCATGATCTCATTGGCATCGCTTATCCGCATAACATAATTACCTGAGGGTCCTAGACTTTTGCCTCCTCTCATTGTATAAAAAAAAAAAAAATAATACATTTACATTTGAACTGTAATTTAAGTTGTAACCCAAATAAACTTTATACCATTACTTTTAAACATTTCATTGATCGTAATAGGAAGTATCTCAACTGGGCTAACAAATGTCACAAGCCCAATCTCGGGGCTGGAGATCCAGAAAGCCTGCGAATAAAATGGGCTAATAGGGCATGTGGTTGGCTATCCTGATTTTAAAATTAGATCAATTTACGTGTCTGTGTCTGTGTCTATATCTATATCTATATTTATATATATATATATATAATTGTTAGTAAACTTTATTTAATTTTATTCTAGTAGCAATTAATAAAAATATGAGTTCATTTAATAAAATTCTTGCCAACATTTAATAAAATACACACATTATTTAATAAAAATATTTATGATACATCCAATAAATTAGTTACACAAACCAAAGATTATTATTATTAAATATTTAGTATGTAACGGTTTCATATACAATAATAAATATAATCTGTTTTTTATACTATATAAACATGTCCTAATTGACGTTTTGATAATATAAAGATACTAAGAGAAGTCCCCACAGGAGAATAGAATCGGCCCCCACAGGGCAATCAACACAGGGGCCAACGGCCCAGACCGAAAAAACCAAACATAGAACACTCAGGCGAAGAGCCCAGACCAAAAATACATGCCCTAAAGAACACAAATACAAACGACAACAAACAAGCAAAAATCAACATAAAACAACAACTAAGAAAATAAAATAAAATGAGCCCTTCCTAAGCAGCTGAACCAAGCAGAGTAAGTGGATACCAAGCCGACCTCGAGTGAATCCTACAGCCAAACGGGAACGACCCGAAACTGCCCAACACTCGGGGGCCTAACGAAGTCGAAATCCAAGCCCCAGAACAACACCCGAAAGCAGACTCGAACTACAACTTCAACACCTAAGATGCCTCAGGACCGCCACGTAGCCGGACCCGCTAACACCACTAGCTAGTCAAACCACATCCGGTGAACCCCGAACCACGAAGATGCCAAGGCTGCAGCCACGTCCCCTACCGCCCGAGGCCGCCACAATCCTCTACCCACCGCTGCCCCACCTCGGCCATCACACTGGCCGAAGGTCAGAACAATGGTCCACCCCAAACCCAACACCGAAGGAAAGGGGGAGAAGGCAGGATTAAATATACTTTGTATTATAGTTACTGAAATAAAAAAATAAAAATAATAGTTGATTAAATATTTATATTATTTTATTTTTACTAATGATCAAATCTTGAAAATGTGATATTTTCATTATCTATAATTTACAAATTTGCACATATTACTTATAATATTTTATTTATTTGTGCATGTGCACAATATGATTAATAGTCTATATAATTGCTAGCAAACTTCATTTAATTTTAACATCCATCCACCTTAATAATTGCATAATGCGTTGAGTCTAAGTGGTATGATGTGGTGATAAACCATGCTTAGGAGTCAGAGTTGGATATAAATTAATATTTTTTATACAAAAATAAGTAGGTTGGGAATGTCCATCAAATCTTAATTTATCTCTTACTTCTTTCTTTCTAAAATTACTTACCATAAACTATATTTAAAATTTATTTTCCTACATTACTATATACTACACGGGTACTTGGTAAAAAAATTATATTCAAAATTAAAAAAATAATAATAACAACAAAATTTAATTTAGTTTTTAAATACTTTTTAAAAAAATATATTATCATGTATAGTTACACGACTTATCATCTTATATTATTTTTTTTTTTAATTTACATCATATAACTACTTTGTAGTTAAGTTAGTTTAAATAATTTTATTGTTTGGAATTAATATTAATAGGTAATCTAATTTCAATAATAATGAAAAATAAAATTATTTATTTATTTTGGATGTATAATAGAGATGTCAAATCGAAGCTCATAAAGACACGATTAATTTGATATATGTTTATATTTATACAAATATTTAATAAACAAAAAATTATTAACTTTTAAATATATTTATAATTAAGTTAGTAAATTTGTTATAATTTTAAAAGAAGGATTGGATAAAAAAAATTATACCATATAAACCATGCCTATAATAGGAAATGATATTAAAACATAATTAATGTTCTTAAAAATAACCATAAATATTCAGTATATTTATAGATATTCCAAGCCTAGTTAATTTTGGATTAAATATAAATTAAAATTCATCCAAGCCAAACACCAAAGCTTCAAAATTTTCCAAATAGGATCCCGAAGCGTGCGAGCCTGCAACTTAGGCTCAGCACATTCGAAAATTATATATAGAGAGGATTACATTTATATTCTTATTTAATTCATGCATCAATTATTATAAATGTTTATTCTTATTATTTTAAAAATTTTATAACTTGTTTTGTTTGTATTTTATTTTTCATATATGATATATCAAATTATTTATCTTTTAACGATCTTCGAGTTAACATCTATATTATTATATATATATATATATATATATATATAGTACAAAACAATGATGTATAGCCTTATAAAAAAAATCTAAAATTATTTATCAAACTAAATTAAAATTTATCAAATAAAATTATATTTTATCTTATAGAGCAATAAAAATTTATGTGTACTAACATACCATATTATAGTTATTTTCTTTAGAAAAAAATAAATAAACTAAGTATGGACATAAAATTAGTATAAAAAAATCTTTTAAAAGTTTATGCCTCCACTTAATTAAATACTACATAGAAATTGAACATTATGATCGTAAAACAACGTAAATAAACATTATGATTAAAATTATAAAAATAATTATTTTATTTCAAAAAAATTTAAAATATTACAATCATACACATTATATTTTAAATTATTAAATATTATAAAGTTGAAGATATTTTAAAAATATTAAACTAAGGAGGAAAACTGTATAAATATAAATATAATTACAATATAATCAAACTTGAAAAAATTAAATTAATTAAAAAATAAATTATTGAGTTGTAGATATATCCGTCTTATATATAATTTCAGAACGCGCTAAGCTTAAGTGGTAGGTTTGCACGCTTCGAAATCTTATGTGACAAAATATTATTCTTTGTAATGTCGCTCAGATAAAAATTACTAATATTGTATATCAAATAACTTAGGTTTGAATTGCCATATATACCCATATTTAATATACTTAAACTATTCTATATAAATTAATTTTCTATTAACTTGTTTCTACAATTTGCATAATATCTTACTCTCCAAATTTTGTGCTTTATCCATATTATTCTCTTATGTGTTTTAAATAAAAATATTATTAATAAAACTAATAATGCATATAAATTATTTTTTAGAATATAAAATAACATTGTTAATTCATTTAGTTCTTTATTATAAATTGTTGTATATTGTTCCTTAATTATTTTTTCCAACTTCAACAAAATACTTAAATATATTTTTTTCTTTCAATTTTTATTTTATATTTAATTATTTTATCAAATACCCATGTAATACACGGGTATTGCATTAATAAAACCATAAATCCTTTCAAATAAAGAAAAAAATAACAGACAAGTGATGCTCATTAGGCCACCGGCAAAAGTGGCGCCAAATCTTATCAGCTAACAATTGGAGGGGAAGAAGTTTAGAGAGAGAAACTTCGCTGCATAAAGTCATGTCCCTTTCTCTCTCATCACTCGCATTCTCCCTCTACAAGCTCACGCAATCCGACCCGACCCGCACCCAGATTTCGCTCGTGAAGCCCATAAAAAATCCGGTTCGAGCTTCCTCATCAGCTGCGCCAGGGATCGATTTCACCACCCTCGAGTCCGCCATTGCCGAGGTCCCTTTTCAGTTTTAGTCCTTTTCTCCCCTTTTTTCCTAATTTCTTTGTTGCTATGTTTATTGCTATGTGAAGTATTAGGGATTATTCATGAAGGGATTCTTAATCGTGGGTCCTTTTTCCAGTTTAATAGTTCTCTGATTTCGTTGCTGGTTGTGTTGATTGTTGGTGGGGTTAATTGTCTTAATCGTGGGTCCTTTTCAGTTGATAGCATTTGAAACAATTCAGGTTCACAAATTAATTCTCTGTTAGCCAGTTCGACTGGGCACTTTTTTAACAAAAATGCATACTTATAATTTTGTTTATGTTGTTTTTTCAAATGACATTTCAATTTTAAAGTGTGCATATAGTATCCTTAATGTTCAAGGTCATATGGCAAGTTGTGTAAAAGCCAAAAGATAGAAAAAAAAAAAAAGAAATTCAAGATTTGAAATTGGGTTTGTGTTAACCAAAGGAGATTGACACTCCAATTATTCTCCTTTGCTGATAAAGTCTCATCCCCCACTACAATTATTCACCTTTCGCCTCAAGGCTAGCTAAAAGATCGCGAAAATGTGAAGATAAGTTTTGTTTTTGAGTATGTTTGCTAGGATAAATTTTATCGTCCCCAAATTGGGTTTGTTGTAGAAAGACAGTGATGGAGTCAAGGTGGCACTTGATGAGCTGAGGGAAGGCGGTTGGGCCAAGAAATGGAGTTCTCAACCGTACATCTCTCGACGAACGGTGAGTCTCTAAAACTGTTACAAAATAGCCTTTCGATCCCACATTTGCAAATTCCACTAAGAAAGGATCTTTTTTATTGTTGGGTGCATATGTAAGGGGGCCTCTTGTATTGTTTCAAGTTAAACTGTGGCCTTTTGTTTTTAAACTGAACTTTTCGGGTGATTTTTCTTGGCTATCCCTTTTTCGGAATTAACTGAATTTGGTCACAGACATCTCTTCGGGAGCTGACATCTCTAGGAATAAAGAATGCCGAGAATCTTGCTATTCCTAGCACCCGAAATGATGTAAGTTATATATGGAAATATTGTTTCTTGTTCTTTTGATACAGTAAAAATCTATATGTATATGTTTATAAGTTTAGTCGGGTTCACCTGAGTAAGTCGAATGTAAGTTCTAGAAATAAAGTTTCTTCAACATCGTTTGGAATAAAGAAACACTGTAAACCTATATCTAATTGGTATTTTAAAATATTTGGATCAAATTTTACACTTTTTTGTTTAAGTTGATTTTGTTCAGTGATGCAGGCAGCTTTTCTCTTTACGGTGGTGGGCACAACTGGGTTTTTGGGTGTTCTTGCTGGTCAGCTGCCTGGAGTAAGCTTCTATTACTCTCACTACTTCTATGTGCTCGTCATTTTTTTTTTTTTTTNTACTTTTGTGCCCTCAAGTTCATAATTGTCTTTGGTGTGGAAATTTCTACAACCATTAGAAATGGAAGTACCTTTCCTTTCGGAACATTTATAAGATTAACATTTGAGGCAAGGCAGTTAAGAGTTCAACTGAGAATTTTATAAGAATCTAATCACTATATTGAATTTCGTCGTAGCTTGTTTACACGTAAATGTAAAAATGCAGAATAATGATATGCTTTTGACTCAAGAATGATGATATAGTTTAGGATGTGTGAAGTCCTGCAAAATGTTAAAAATATACTGTTCTATTCTAGCATTACCCAAACAAAAACTTAAATCTAATCATTTAAGAAAACAAGAACTGCGAGGAAGGAGAGTTTTTGAATAAGCTAATTGTATCATCATGACTTAAGTTGGCTTGATTGGACTTTAGCTTTTTGTACACATGTAAGACACCAAGTCGAAATTAATCTTCTTGATATACACACAACTTTTCTGGTTTTCTCAGGACTGGGGCTTTTTTGTGCCATACTTGATCGGAAGTATCTCCTTAGTAGTCCTTGCTGTAGGGAGTATTTCCCCAGGGTAAGTATTATAAAATAAATAAATAAATAAATAAAATTCCATTAATCGAGAGAGTATTTTCAGTCACCATATAGAATGTGATTAAAGCTTGTTACTGGAAAAAAAAAGTAGTTTTGTTGGCTTAAAATGTCAACTTCTGCTATAATTTAAAATAATTTAATGGGATTTGATGCTTTATTTTTTTACTTACTCTATATATTGACTTTTACAAACAATAAGCACCTTTTGGAATTATTGTTGATAAAATCAATTTGTTGTTCAGTGTATGCTACTATTAACTACTGATTCCAAACTCTTTTATCTTATACCACAATAGATCACTTCTTATATTCTGAAAAGACTGCTCAAATTTTGTGAAGATGCATTAGTTAGGGTAAAAAAAAAAAGG